GCATTACTCCTAACAGAATAATAAACCGATTCCACACTAGTGAACCCTATTTAAAATGAATGTGAGATGGAGACCAAGGCGTCAGCACAATGCAACGGACAATTCACCTTGTTCCTGCGTTTTGTTCAAGCAGATACAAACGCCAGAGAGCAGATCTAAATTATCGCCAGTCTAACCGTTTCATGCTACAATAACTCAAACGGCCTTGACTTGTCCTCACAATACACGAATTAGTTCTGAAAGCACCACCTAGAGAAATACAGAGCAACATCCCAGAGTATGCAGGGCGCCCAGGATTTATACAATGACCCGAGTAATTCATGATAATGACCATGCAGTTTGACATGCTTTTAAAACCATGCAGAGAAACAGAATTAGATTGCAAAACCAATTTAATACAAAGGGTTGAATAACGGCAAAAAGGAATCCGACCAAAAGAATTTCAGTTCAACCTCTTCCAGGTCTTTCATCCACCTTACTCCCTGGGTTTGAGGTGGGATAGAGGACCTTGTCGACCAGTCCGAATTGTGTGGCTTCCTCAGATGTCATGAAGAAGTCACGATCCATCCACTTTTCCACCACCTACAACGGGATTAGTTTAACAAAATACTCCACACCATGAGTCACCAGAAGAAACCGAAGGCAACTGTGTCTAATTTTTTTGTGTACAAAATGGAGGTGCATACAAAGCTGCTAAATCAGAGTAGTTGCAAACTTAGGACGAATTCAGAGCCAAAATTGAGACGAATTAGTTTACAAGAGACGATTTCATATAAAAAGTGGATGGACAACTGAAACACGCCACCGAAAAGGCCTAATAAACTTGAAACAAATATAGTCGTGCACACAATTGGAGAACCAAACAGAACACCGTAGAGGGTCAAGGACAACAGACCTACCTCCAAGGGCTGCTTTGTGTGTTTAGAATACAGAGAATTCAGCATTTTTCTGGTCTTAATGATTTCCTCTGCCTGGATTTGTATGTCACTCGCTTGACCCTGCGCTAAGCCAGAGGGTTGATGAACCATAATGCGAGCATGTGGCAAAGCATACCTGAACCCCGCAGTACCCGCGGTGAGCAATAGCGAACCCATACTACTTGCTTGACCAATGCACCACGTGTAAATCGGTGGCTGAATGTACTGCATCGTATCATATATTGCCAGGCCGGATGTGACCGACCCGCCAGGACTATTTACGTATAAATGAATGGGAGAACGTTTATCTTCGGATTGTAGGAAAAGCAACTGAGCCACTATAAGACTAGACGTCTCGTCAGTAACAGGACCCATGAGGCAGACGATTCTATCTTTTAACAAACGTGAATAAATATCGAAAGCTCTTTCACCGAGACCCGATTTATCAAGTACCATTGGGATCAATGGATAGCGTATGACTGAAGAGGTGTTTAACCGACGAAGGAGTTTGAACATATTGAATCTAAAGTGAAATCGAAGTTGAAGTCCTCAAAATAAATTTAGAAACCGCCTCCAAAAGCTCCGTAAACTCAAAAGTGCCGCAGTCAATCACATTCCTAGGTTAAAATGTGGGTGGAAAAAGAAATATCAGCTTAAACCAAATTCGATATTTTTAGAAAATGGTAAAAAGAAAAAAACAAATTTATAAAATGTTTAATAAATAAATTTTTAAACATAAGCTAAGTAGAACAATTGCATAGTTGCCATGACTTTCTTGTGGTTCGTTTTCAAAATGGCTGATAAAAAGCCTTTGTGCACAGTATCCTGATACCTTGCCTTTTACCAAGGAGCAAATTTATAATAAATATCTATGCGCATACTAGACTTGGAAACAATCTTGTAGGGACTGCCTGCTCACCCTACTGATCTTGAACCTTAGACTTCCAGAGGGAGTTGGTTGCAGATGGTTTATTCGGCATTTGTTGCAGGAAGAATGGGGATTGGGATGCAGATGAGCCGAATAGGAGATATCAGCTAGAGAGAGACTCCTCACCGTCCTCGCGCACATGATACGCGTTCCCAACTGGCTCCTGCCTCTCCCATAAAGGTCCAATGAAGCAATCTAGTATATATTGCAAATTTCCACGTGGTCATTTTTACCAGCACTTCAAGCACATCAAGGGGTTTTTCATCTGCATTCATCTCCAACTGTTTTGCATGCAAACATTTTGGCTGTTCACAAATCCAGGTGCAACATCTACACTGTTGTCTTCTAATTTTTACTTGACACACTTCTCTATATGAATGTAACATACGATTATATTTATTTAGAAAAGTAGTGAAGTACTAGATATCTGTTTTAATAAACGTAGATGGGAATGCCTAGTTTCGTTCGACACTCCTCTTATTTTAAATTTGGATCGAACACTTGACATGCCGTCTAATAATTTCTCGAAATTTCCACAAAGTCTGCTTTAGCATTATGTTCTGTTCTCCTTAGAGGAATCTTGTTTAGCTAAATTATTAGAGAAGGCAAAAGTAGCACCTGGTTTTCGGGATTGCCTCTTGTCCATGCTTTGCAGTAAACCCTGCCTACGGCAATAGCTTTTTAATATCCCTAGAAAGTTTGTTGAAAGTATTCCTTTCTAAGTCTGAAAAAGTATATATCAGCAGTTCAGGGCAGGAGTATAAACCATTATTATGGTGAGTTTTCCGTCCTGTTGTAACGCTTTGCTTAATTAGTTTTTTTGTATAATCTACTGTCTCTTTAATGTCCACCCTGCTTTATAAGATGGACTGGTCTTTCGAGCCCAGTCATAAACATCCCTTTGAATGCCGCATAGAAATTTTCATGTGGCGTCCTAAGACTTCCCTCTAGACAGAAAAATGCATAAGTTAAGCTGAATACAATTATCCTAGGGAGAGAAAGGAGGTCAATCTATGGCTTGGCGCTGAGGCCAGTCTGCGCTTACAAGGTCCAAACGAATACCAAAGTAACCGCAGGACATCAGGCAATCACATGAACGAAGTATTGCATATGGATTGTTACAATCCTCATATGTCGTTGAAGTCAAGTAGCTTCTCATCTACACAGAACATTGTAAAAAAACTTCGGTTGCCCTAGCCAGAAGTGGAACATTGTGAGACTTGCGATGCAGTAATAAACGCTATAACACTTGGCTAAATACACATGCGTAAATGCATAAGGAGTGAGAGTTGGACCGACAAGCTAAGTCAAAGACTAGTCTCGTATTCACATCCTGGAGTATTTGTGTTCAGCCCAACTCAACGCCTTCTTTTACCAAGTGGGAAGTCTCGAGGCGCTACAGTGGTGGCAGTAGAGAGTGAACTCGCATTTTTAGCAACTTCTACTTTGGTGTTCACCACTTGTGGTATATGTCTGCCACATACCATTCGTGCGGGAGATTCGCGGAATTCCTCACCACAGAAGAGTTAAGTATTGTCTGCGTTTGGCTTTACCACTGTGAACCACCTGGGAAAGTTTCGTATCGGAATTTCCTTTACTTCATTTATGTATAGATGTCGGAAATGCCACTGCTCCGAACCTCCTTACCTCTTTTTTGTTAAATATCTATTATGAACCAGTGTTCCAAAGCAATTGATGGTTAACAGATGTATGCAGCGCCGACCCAATGCAATTCCAGAGCCAGTTGAAGATGCTAAAAGGTCAAGTGCATTCCCTCGGTCTCGTGATAGCTGATGACTGAGTGCTTCCTCGCAGCACCGGATATGTTGCGACGGCTGACGCAGGGGGTGTACCAAGGGCAGAGTCGAGGAAGTCGCTCAGAAGAGGAGAGGGGCTGCATAATAACTTGTGCATGTAGCTGCCTGTAGGTATTCGCTATGCTCTTTGACGCGTGGGCTGGCCTTCGAGCCAAGTCAAAGCCCAATTCCTTCTCTGCCTAGACCACATGCATTCAGTCCAACTCACTGTCTCCTACCTAATGAGAAGTCTTAGGCTTCTACAGTGACGTTGCGCGAAACCCAATCTAAACGGAATTTTGTTAAATCGCATGTCCTTTATGATGGGTCCACTTTTAAACCAATGCCTTATCGTCCGGTCGTGGAAGAACATGATTCGGAGTACAGTGAGATTACTGAATCCTTTTTGTAAGTCGTACGAAACTCTGGATCCTGTTTATCTCTCTGAGGGTCATCAGGGACTTTGGAGTTAAATACATTTATTGGCCATATGGGAGTTGACCGGTGTAGCTGATTTGTTCGTGTGTAATGTTTCAAGTCTTCCCACTTTGTAAGAGGAGTCAAACGAGTTACAATGGGTACCGTGAAAGTTGTAGTAAGGGGAGTGTCGGAGACGTCATTCAAGAGAGGAGAGGGATAATGCAATGCTTTGTTTGTTTGTCTTAGCGCTGTAGCAAAAGCTCAGCTCTCTTCCCTTTGGACTAAATATAAGCAGTCAACTCAGATAACATGGCTTCCACTTGCTAACAGAAAGTCTCGAGCTTCTCTGTACCTATTATTCAGCACGCGAAGTGTGATATGTGCTGCTAACTCATTTCTTGTTCTTTCATTCGTGTCATTATTGAAGTACTAAAGGTCTCCTCAACTTGACAACGCTGAACTTGGTTTGCTTTCGGTTTTCTCCTTAAATCTTCCTCATCATACTTTGTTTATTTGACTGCTGGTATCTGTTGCGTTCGCCTAAGTTGTCAAATTGTTCCCACCGTATAGGTCGGCCTCTGGGTCATCTCATAAGCTTAATGCACTTTCCCCTTGCCTGACTATAGGCATTCAACTTAAGTGCTATACATTATCCCATCTGCAAAGAAGTCTCAGAAAGCTACACTCATAACTTTATTCACTGGTACTTTGGAACCATTCTCACTCATCGTCCCTTGGACCTTCATAAGCCTTGAATGAACGGGTTGATCCGGTTTGACCACATTTATTAGTCAAGGTCAGCTTGGCATCTGAACCGTTCATGATTCCTCTCCTCTGGGTACGCCCACAACGACCAATTCTCCTATGGTTGGGTGTGCATATGACTTAGATTGTTTGGTGACACTAGGGAACCTAAAGACGGGAATCTGAACGCAGAATTCTTTGCTCTATCTTGTGTTAGCGTCAAGCTGCAAGCTGACTCCGCGTGATTATTCCTTCTCTGGAAGATCTATTTTCAGTCAAGGCGCATACTGCACTAACGAACAAACAGCACAGAGACCTCCGGACCCTTCCTTGTTATAAGGTATTCGAATGCGACTGTGAGATCCCCTGTTGAGTGTTATTATGCACACCTCCTTTCTGACCCTCTAACTACGCTCCTCAAGCTTCCCAATTTGTTGGAAACAGGGTTACTTCACCTAACCTGCCAGTCATCAATTTGCTAAGCAGTGGTATTGATTTGGTGAAATATCTCTGTTTGAAATTTTCACTTTGAAGACTACAGTGGTAGTTTTACGTTTTACTGTCTTTATCGCCCGTTGAATCTTAATTTAGATTACTTCACTTCTGCAACGTAATTTAAAACCAACATCGGTTACCAAAATGGCTGGAGATGAAACTTCTAGGACAATTTCCGCGTCAGCTTTCCCTCTTCATCCTTTCAAACTACTCTACGATTCGTTTACAAGGAACTGCAACGCAGTATCTGAGATGAATGAAGATCACGTGCAGCCAAGACACATGTTTATACGAGAGTTTCATTTGGTTGCCAGCCTTAGAGCGTGCAAGGTATATGAATTCAAAGTTCCACAAAAATCATATCTGCTCCCCAAAATGGGACGCAGTCCATAGATCGCATCGAATCAAACTTTGTACACAAGTAGACTCGGAATTCCTCAACGATCAGTGTTACCAGTACTTTCATCCCTACGACGAAGTACTTCAAAATCCTACAGACGATTCGCGCTGCTAATCAACAGTTCTGAAGTCCTCACTATGGGCAATCAGAAGAGCAGCATTGCAACCGCCGATGAGAGCCATTTCCATATTGGATGCAAGACTTTCCAGCGAGTTGACGTAAATAAGGCCATCAGTCAGAAGAATTTTCCCATGCGCTTTCTCCAGATCACTCTACAGAAAAAGAAAAGTGGCTTCTAAACTTAAGCAATTGATCGTTAATATTTTGTCACCAGAGCCTCAAGGAGAAATAATCGAATACGCTCCAAATTTTTCGGACTCAACCATTCCCGGAGAAAAAAAGGTCTTACATGTGTCCTTTCACTATACTTCTTCGAATAGGTGAAGTTGTGATATTAACCATTCAGTTACTATGGCCATACAAGCACCAGACGACCGTGGTCCACAGTGCATTAAGGCAGCTCAAGGATCCTGAAGGGTGGGGATTTGTGAGTCCGATGCTTGGTTATTCTTTTTAGTCACAACGACATCTGTTAAACCTTGGAATATTACTTTAAGAAGGCCAATTAGTAAGCTCAGATCTCGGAAATTATTTCTAAATATGCCAGTATTCATGTTTCAAAAGCCGAAGGAAAGACCAAAAGCCAGCCAATGAAGGCGAAAGAGAAGGCTTTGTGAAGTCTTACTTGGGCGACAGAGAAAATGGGGTAGGCGAACCATCGTGAGGAGTTTATGAGAATGGCAGGAGACTTAGCATAGTTCTTTAGCAGTTGTACTCCCGGGTCAGGCGTTCTTTGTGGGAGCGAGAAGGCCGACCAACAGCCCATACCCGTCCTCGAGTTCCCAATGTTTCGAACCGATGTGGACCATGCTCGACCAAGGTACTTGAACAGTGTACTTTTCTCTACCTCATAGCCCTCGTACGTTGGCAGGATTGTCACTCCTTTGCTTCCTCCACACTCCAGCTTCTCTAATAACGTCCAAAGAGTTCAAGAAAGACAAAAACAATAATCTTATTTTACATGAAGGGTCGGTCTGTAGTTCTCCGCTTCAAGTCATGTTCGAATCAACTAACCAATACAAAGGTCTGCAAAAATATCATTTTCAAGAAAATTCCTTCTATTAATAAATAAAGCACATTTATCCGGAAGAAAACGACCACTGAAACCAACTCTTTACTGAGTCCGTTTACGTAACTCTTGCGTATTAACCATTATCCAATCTTGGTAATAGCTCATTAGACTGTAATCACCATGAAAGCAAGACCTCGTTTTGAAACCAGTTGTTCGTGGCCATCGACTTACTATAAACGTAGCTCTTTGACGCGTTAACCTTTAGTTGCATTTAGGTATCAAAAGCTGCTCTTCCTTCACGATGAAATTTGCTCATTAACTCGCGTAGTTGAGATCCAACACACTTTCAATCCCCACAGCCACATGTTGTGAAGCTTACCCCTTTTGAATGCCAACGCATTACGTGCCGAACTTAATCCATGCCTTTTATACGAGGCAAGCTACATACGATTCACGTACGTACTTACTGCATTGAATACAAAGTTGCTACAATCGGCACCAAATCAGGAGTATAGTGCTCCAACCAACAAAGATGCATTTTCTACAGAGATCTTTAAACTCACCAGCAGGAAGGCCAAACTCCTTGGCTTCTAATTCGCCACGAAAATGAGTCAAATCCACTTCAATGTACTTTCTCCTCGGAGGTAGGTACTTTATGAGATCACCATCAGCTTGCGGTACTGCTGAAGCCTTCTCGTGTATGGGGAAGGCTAGGACCACGAAGTCAAATTCCTCGCTCCTCTCAACACCATCATTTTCGTATGTCACTAGAAATCTGTATGGTCAAAGGACTGACATGTATTGGTGATAAGGCTGTTTAGCTAGCGCTTTGAATACCAAATTTTATCCGACATTGCTAAGTGCTTTATTCATAGCTTAAGGTGATTTCATCGTGATGCTAAACGTGTGATATGAGGAGAACACGATAAATTTTGAGGCTAACCCATCGCAACTTAACAATGCAGGCGATAATCAGCCAAAATACTAACAGCAATATCACTTTCGATGATTTAGTCGGAAACTGTAAATTCAAATACGATCACAACCTCCAAATGAACATGCCGTAATAGAAAATTATTACATATATACCTCAATTGGGGACAAGGCTTTGAAACTTATGCATAGGAATAGCTAAATCTATCAACGTGTGTGCTCCCACCTTCGTTTCAAGCCTCTGGAAAGCTTAGTGACCGTGGTTCTAAGCGAAACTTTCCGAGAAATATCCGACGGGTTCGATCGGAGAGCAGCCTCACAGAGCTTTTGAGCCACCTTCTCATTCCCACCAACAACAGAGAAGAGCTCGGCACCGAACCCGCTCACAGAAGTCATACCTAAAGCAAAAAGAGCATTCTTTTCATCAGCGATACTAAGGCATTGTCTCGTGCAAAACTAATAATATCCCTATAGTAAAGATGGAGACGGGATTCGGCAAGATACAAGGGCAATACGTGCTCTCGGTTGCAACTGGTGCATTAGTTTTATAAGCCCTCAACAAGTGGAAATTTAACAGTAAAAATGATTCGTCGATGCTCTAATGTTTGGCACATAAACATCACCCATGCCTTATCGAATATGCAACCGAAATCGTCCAACCAGTAGCAGCAATGATGGACAACTTAAATATAGCCTCTAAATCGGCACCCTTTGAACTTTTAGGTGGTCACTTACCAGCAAACGCGTGAAGAGTGAGATCAGAGCAATAACAATTCGACACTAAGCCATAAACAACCTCCTTGCAGAAACGATCCGATAATTTGAGACGCCGCTCCAACCAAGCGTCAAAAGTTGACCTCAGCATTCTCGGGAATACCGGAGAGAGAGCCCCAAGCATGGCGACGGGAGAGTCAAACGACACACCCTTTTTCTGCAAATCGTATATTCTGCAAGAGTAAGTTTCGGAAGAATGGAAGAATGAGCCAAAACAGTAAACGAAATTGCACAACCCAAATTTAGAATGGATTCATTAAACCACCTTTTAACCTTTGTTCAGCCTTTTGAATGTTCGGCTGCTACGCCATTTTCATTTAAACTATCGTAAGCGTGAATGTGGGCTATGGTAAACAACGCGGCGAGTGCACCCAGTTCGTGGGTGTTGGAAGCACTTTATTTAGCGAGAATATTAGGGCAAAAATGGTATCAAGTCGTTTAATCTGAGTCTAGAGGCCTGCAAATGATAACCACCTAGTGTAGAGTAATTCGATCGTTTCCGCTACATGCATAAAACTCCGCTTTCAGAAGGGAGTGGTAATTCCGATTATGTACATTTTAACGCACGTTTACGTGTCTTAAATGCTTTTAAACTGCTTTGCTAAGAAGCTATAAAATCAACGAGATTCAGTGACCAAACGACAACTCCTTTTTCGAACATTTTGTAACTAATGCTTCAAACCTCCCGTCGCAAGCATAAACCTTCCATAGCATTAGAATGAACAACAAGTGCCGAGAGGATGCTCGGATCCAAGCATTTGTAAAGGAGGAGACTTGCACCAGATTAAATGAGCTCTAGATTCGGAAGTTGTTAGCTAGCAAAGTAGACAGTAGAAGAATTTACCGATCGAAGGTGCGGCGATAGCTCGCAATTGCTAGGCGAAAGCGCACAAGGTCAGTACCATATAGGATAGCAAAGCGCAAGCGATTGATGAAGAGAGGCCCCGCGTTGCTACTGAAAGCACAGGGATGCAGGCGGCCCCTATACAGAGACAACGCTTCGTCCGGTGGCGTGTGACGATGCGCCACCAAGCCTGCAAGAACGAAATAGCGGATATTCTTATCTAATTCTTAAGCGATTTCTACCCACACCAACTCAATCAATTGATTTCAATAGACATTCGTATAACTTTAGGCTATGAAAACGTGAAAAATGTGCAATGAATAATAGCTCTAATAAAATAGAGACCTTATTAAGTCTTACATTCCTTTTGCTAATGATGCCACAACTGAGAACTACCATCTGGCAGTGTATTTCGGGATAAAATTTAAATGACGGAACTCCCGGAACGTACCAAATTGATTGACAAACATATTCATGTATTTATTGTTGCTAGTGTAGATCGCACCACCCGTTTCAAACAGCTCGTCTTCACCTTCGACACTAGTTGACCGAACACGACCACCCAATCGATCGGACTTCTCAAAAACTGTGATGGACACTGCTTTTTCGAGAAATTGTCGCAGAAAATAGGCAGTTGAACACCCACTAAAGCCTCCACCTACTATAGCTAAAGACCGATTAAATATTATGTTGTTTTGAGCATAGATGATGTGAAATATCTATGTGCAATATAATTGCTTTAATGATTTCTGAGAGATATCGCATT